TAATATCAGGTAAAGTTCATTTTTGGTTATTTTTTGTTTTCTTTTTAAAAATTACTCAACTGTAATTTTTTGAAAGATCTCTCACGCCGTTAATATGCACATTTCCAGCGATGTGTTTGTGATTTCAAGTGCTTCAAATTACCTCAAAAAAGGTTTTCGGAAACTCAAATATTTTCTGTGAAAATATGCTTCAAATTTCGAATTTACAGTAGCGCTTAAACGCCATTTTCGTAAAAACTGCTCCAAATTGTTTTCAAAGAAAATTGCCATTTAGGACGAGATTTTACTGTTATTTAATATTCTTAAAATATTACTTCCGTTGTTTATATATCGAAACTATAAGAAACCGAAAAATTAAGAAAATTTCAAAAAAATGTACTTAGGAAAGCGATAGGTGGCAGCTGGCAAGGGTATGTGACAAGTCCAAGTAGTTAGCCGAGACTAAAGGGAACAAAAAACTAATACGGGAAAGTCTGTACCATTCTGTAGCACTACTACTTCACTTTCTCTCATACTGCTTATGCAGCATATTTTGAGGCACGTATGCATCAGATATGTTTGTTATTACACGAAGACCTCAGTAACCTGAATTCAATACCAAAAATATGTTTTCATTTAAACTTTTGAATAAAAAATTCTATTTTTCAGGTTTCTTTTATTTATGAGATAAAGTGTTCTTTTAAGTGTAAGAAATGCAGGAACTTTGGCATATACTACATAACGGTAGCGTTATAATCTAGCGAGAAAGTATGTGCTGTTGTAGCAACTCTAATGTATCACTTTTAATTGGTGTAGTGTTTGTAAACGTCATCTTCGTAGTTACTATAACGTTAAATCGAATAGTGGTTGCTAATGACATAAATGCTGATGCGACCTTAGATAAAAAATAAAAACATGTAGTAAAGAGATTCCCAAGCTCTCTGAAGGCAAAATCGTCTTCTAACCGCATAAGGCGAAAGAAGTTTTGTTCAGAAGACGAGACGTGACACTCGCCACAACAAACCCATTCAGTGCATTGATCATCGGTAGAAGCATCTCTACTAAAGCCGTCCAAAGATCGTTAAATGTAGAATACCATGGACTTGTGGCTTAAAAGAAGCCATGGATTGATCTAGTAAGTCGCGGAAAGTGACTAGCGTTTGTTTGGAGGATTTCCCTCTCGATAACTGAAATTCTGACGTCTTCGGTGATGATTTGTGCATTTTGCGGATCCGATTGTCGAATGTTGGTATGACGTAAGCGAAATACTGATTGTAAAAGACTGAATCCCCGACCAGTAGTAAAACATGGTGGCTGTTCAGTGATGTTTCAGCATTGCATTCACCTTCAGGCGTGAAAAAGGTAGTATTCATAGAAAATACAAAGAATAAGACGGATAACCTGATAATTATTAAGAAAGGTATGGGAACCAGTGCTGACTATTTACGCTTGAAATCGTCCTAAATATTTCAACAGGAATGCGATCCTCAAAATGTGACATTCCGCGTAAGGTCATGGTTATTATATAATCATGAAGCGTCTGGAATAACCCCCGAGAGTTTATCATAATCTAACGTAGAAACTGAACTGGTGTTTGGTTATTGGCCGTACAAATAACAGTTAATGTTTAAGAAGGTGAAATAGTATCCGAAGGTAATTAGGGTTACTATTGTCCCTTGGTAATTTCAGAGGGTAATTTGGAGAGGTGCTGAGAAAAAAAAATAGTGTGATGTTGAGATTTGATGTGCGGTCTGTGAATATTATTGACAAATTATTCACGAAAATTCATACTAAATCAGTCTGCTGTAGCAAATAGGTTGACAGGAGATCAAAGAAGGTTTTGAGTATGGTATTCTGTACAGTTGAAGTGAATAGAACTAAAAATCCGAGGAAATTTGAAGTCGGACTATTACCGATAGTCGGACATTGTGTATGTTGAATTTTGAAAGAATTCAAATCTTTCAAGTTGCAATTTGTGCTATTTATGCAATAAGTATCCTAAAGAATTAGAGGTTTGTCAGCGGCGACGTCTTGCTTAGTGAAAACCTCAACGGCAGCTGATAGGGACTTATCAATGAAATTAAAAACGTTCAAGGTCACTTAACGCGTAGAACTGCACGTGTCGTCGGCCAAGTCGTCATAGGAAGAAGGAACTAGGAAGAAGAATCGAGGAACATAGCCAACTGTCAAGGGGGCATTGAAGGGAAGTAATCGTGGAGAAGTGGAAGAAAATTTTGTCTTCCCAAAGTCACTGGGGCATTTAATGGCATCCACTCGTCACTACGGTCAAGGCCAACAAATATTGAAGACTATATTTGTTTCTTTTTACTTATTTTATTTAAAATAGTGTTGTATGATCAATTTTCTGTGGCAAACAATTCCCCATGTTGTTAGTTTTGTTAATAATTTTGTTGATTTAGTTGTAAACATTAAACATTATCGTAAGATTAAGAATCTGATGTTTTGGAGTCAATACGTATTTCCAGTCATAGTGTGATATTTCAAATAAATATTGTAATACTCCCGTTAAAATATTCCAAACCTCAAATGGCCTTGTATGTTACCTCCATTCGACATATGAACTGGTAATTTGCAATTTCAAAATTATAGCCGCCGTAAACAATACTTGCGGGTATTGATGATGCGAATAGTTAATTTAGTACAGCTGCATTTTTAAGCCTTTTTACTAATATGCACAAAAGTGCACATAAAATATCAACTGTGAGCTGTTATCCTGCATTATTCTCTAATCCTAATTTTCAATTAGTTCCAAAAATTCTGTCGCCAAATCTTCTACAACTACATTGATTCTTCCCCGGATTTGTTTAAAACTTCCAAATTTTTCTCCCCGTAATTTTTGATCAGATTATAACTCAATAAACTCAGTCTAATTTGTGTTCTCTTCTACTTCTGCAATTGCTCTATTAATAGCTTTCTATGCGCATATAAAGAATCATTAAAACGTGACTTTTTGTGTTTATGTGAATAAGGCGTTAGTTAAGTTTAATAAGAATAAGTTGTGTGTCACATTTATTTGAAAATCTATAAGTACACACTTAAGAACGTTTATTCATTCTCTAATATTACTCGAAGTTTTGTTTTCTCCGTATTTACTTGAAATTCTTAAAATATAATATTTTCCAAGGCAATACTATTTGTTAGTTTTTGCAAATTTATTTTTAAACATAAGGTAATATGGATGAAAATTAATATAATATCTACCGCGCGATTCTCTTGATAATTGATTTGTTCACTTAGATGACAACATCAGTGTTGCCACCACCGTGAGAGAAATCAATGACGTATGGGGCAGAACTTGCCTGTGGATACAATGCCACCACCTACGTACTCGTCTGTAACGTCTACCTCGTCCTACCTCGTCCTACCTGCGTACTACCTCGTCTGTAACGTCGTGTGTAGGGATCTACACCACAAGGAAACAGACACGAGTGAGTATATACAAGTTTTATTTACACACTGTACATATTTACAATTCTCACTCTAAGGCGGTTTGCCAGAGCTACCACTGCAGCCCTCCTCTCCCTACATGCGCCTTGCGGCGACGCCTACGACCAGCCGGCAAGGCCGCGTCGTAGATTGGCACCTGGTGTGCCCCGGCAGATTGACGATCTGCCCGAATGTGTTTGAAGAACACATCACCCTGTCCGAACTCGTCGAACAACCTCGTGCCCTCGGCACTCCGCACCAGCCTGGGCGGACAAAGTTTTTGTGGTCTAGCCACGAGGAAACCAAAACGTTACCCACTCGCGCCGTCTCGCCACGGCGTCTTTATAGGTCCAGGTCACCTGACCTCCTACGTCACTACTCCCCACCCCCGCGCGGTGGAAAGCCTTTCCCTGGCGCTGCCTGGCCCGCGGACCATTTCCTGTCGGAAGGTCCCTTATTTGTTCTATATTTAGATCCCCCAGCCCTCTACCTTGCACTCGGCTGCTGCCAAGCCGTGACGCTACAGTAGATACATTTAGGTGGCGTTGGTTTACTTCTGAGCATACTCACTAAGATAGAAGCCCCAAAACACGTCTTTGGATATTTCTTTGCATCTTATGGCCGAATCCGAAAATAAATATTGAGTTCTCCACCAGTAGACCGAGACGCTTCGAATGACACGACTGGTGCACAGCAAACGGTCTAACAGTGAGTGATGGATCTGCGCACACGCGCACTCAATTACTCTCGTACGCAGTTACGCAAATACTCTCAATGCAATGCTTGGTTTATAACGTTTTAGATTTCGGATTGCACCCCAAATTAATGATTAATTTAATACGCAGTAACAGTAGGTGGGGAGCAAATCTAAATGCTTAAAGAGCTAACTTTAAAAATCCACATTGTGTTTATATTTAAACATGTGTACCTGGTTATTTTTATGTGTTGTTATATGTGCTGTTTACTAGGGTGTACTAAATATATGGTCTTTTAAGTAGGCATGTTATAATATGTGGGCAGTGTGTTGTGTGTGTGTGTGTGTGTGTGTTCGTGTTATGTGTGAACGTGGAGTGAAGGGCATTCATGTTATAGATGTGTGGTGTATGTTGTATGCATGTGTATGATATATGTGTATGAGTTGTTATATATGTGCCATAGATGATTAAGGTCTGTGGTATTTTATATTTGAGTGTATGCTCTGAAGAAGTGTAGTGTAAATTGTTTTTTTATTGGTAAATTGTTTGTATTATAATGATTCCATACTATTGTAAACTGTAGGGTTGTGGCTACCACCTGGCAATCAGCCAATTGTAGCCAAATAAATATTATTATTATAATAGAAATACAGTAGTTGAATATTTATATTACAAAGTAATAATTATTCCCGAGATACTGGAACGCCGTTCTCTCGCGTTCCACAAGAAATCAAGCCCTGTGTAAAGAAGTAATAATGTGGTCGATAATGGACGTGTTGTTAATGTGGCCTTAATCAATAAACCAATTAAAAACAAAATTAAATCCATAGTTCAACTGTCTGAAGGCATTATTTATTTAATGGGGCTGGTGGCACTCACCGTTTGCGTGTCGACATATTCCTCCACGACGTGTGCGCCGTCGCCCGCCGGCGCCGCCTCCTCCTCCACCAGGTTTTGCTGCAGGGCAGCGTCCAGGTCCTGCACACAAGAAGTACTCATCGTTAGAGACGGTAGATTTGAGCAATTCCTAAAAATGCCAAATGTTACCAAACGCTGAAAAAAATAGTAACTATATGTTCGTTGATTAATGCAGTATATTTCTGGAGGTTTTCAATCTGCGATAAAATGCGAAATCGTTCACAAAATGCGGAATCACGTACAAAGAGTAAAGATGTCGTGTATATGCAAAATAATGGCTAATTGCATTTTATGGTATTAACTTGGCTGTCCGGGTGACGCCGCGTCCATGGCGAAGGTGCCGACGTTTAGGTCGACATTCTGCAACCTGCGAAGGTCGCAGAATGTCGACCGAAACGTCGGCACCTTCGCCATGGACGCGGCGTCACCCGGACAGTTAAGTTAGTACTGACTCCGGCCGCGGAAACCTACGCTCTGCATTTTATGGTTTCTTTTGTGTTTGCTTTCAAACAAGGAATGCGACATCGACAACACGTCGATATTTGAAAACATTTAATTTAAGAGAGGCCATGTTTATTAATTCATAATAAGATTTAGTTGTCAAGTGATCTCTAAGATCTTCAACTTCGTCAGCTGGCTGTTCGGAGAAGCGCACGGGAAGAAGAGGAAGGCCCTACGGCTACAGCGTAGGCGTTACTTCTTACGCTTTTATATTTGTTGAAGTTCGTAAATGGCGAAATATTAAATTTGTTACTCTTATCTCCTAATTTTACTTTACTGCTAATCGCACACACTCACACTTGCGCTCCTCCTTTGTCGCTCTCTGATCGTACTTCGAGTTATGATCAAGTCCCTACTATTAACACGGAGAAAGTGGATCAAAATGGATCATTTCTTTAAAACTAAGGAACTTAACGATTAAATGGAATCTGCAAATTATTCTTCTGTTGTACATTCATGGTGTCCCAAATACCGCTAACAATATTCTACAATGCATGGTTTCAAACATGATCTGATGGACTACCTAAGTTGGCCACAGCAAATTACTTGAAAACGGTTTGATGCATCGAGTTCATTTGTGCCATATTGTTGCAGATGATGGGGCAAATAACATATTTTGTTTTCTTGTTAGTACCGTATGTAGTTTTAGAGATATTGACACTACTTTGGTTTCTTAAATGAAGGTATGTTTTTTTCTCCGGCATTCTAAGGTTATTTAAAAATGAAAAAGCAATGCTATAAATATTGTAAATATTCGAAAAATATTTTTTGCCAAAAGTGAAATTAGTGTTTGGTAAACGCCATGCTGCAGCGCGGAAGCACACCTGACCTTGCTGACATCGTGTACGTGAGTCTTCGCACTTCGTGGGAAAACGGGAAATTTCGCCGATTACGGGACTTCCTATTCTCTTACTGGTAATGCTAATGACCTCGGTTTTGGTATTTAACAAGTTCTACACCCACAAGATGGTGGTGTGTTCGAAATCACATTGATTTCAGCGAAGATGTGTATCTAAATACTTTCATTAAATTTTAATTTGGGGAGCCTATCGTATTCCGTCTCCCGGTCAGCCAAGAACAGACATATTGTAGATGTATTGTCAAGACTAGACGTTTGCGATACTAGGTGATTTCAATTGCAAAACCCCGTATGGGGATCAAGTAAAATTAATGCCAGGGGAGTTATAGTTGAAACACTTCCCAACTACTACGATTCTATAATATATATACTGGCCAACCCATACATTTCAATACACTAAGTAACGGATGGTTCTTGACGATATATACGACAGCGAGCACTTAACAATAATGAAAAATGTAAGTGTAACACTTGGTGATGAGGCATGTCAAATACTTTCACCAAAATGGAACTTCAAAATATCTGGCTCGTAGGGATATCAAAAAATAATTTCTGAAGAAATAAAGGATTAGGATACTTCTGAAACATTATAATGTTAGCTGCAAACTCGGCGATTCAATTCTACAGAACGTCGAAAACAGTAAAATGATATGTACCCTGGTAAAATGAAGAGTGAAAAAAGAACACAAGAAATTCAGAATAAAAAGAACGGAAGTAAACAAAATTAAATTTAAAAAGATGAGAGAACCCTGCAGGAGAGCTATGAAAGAATCATGAAACAAAATCAAATTCATAGGACGTAACTGAGGACGAAATAAGATAAAATTTATCGAAAAAACAACGAACATTTACACATTAGGTTCACAAGAAATAGTATCTCAGCGCATGCATTCGCAACAAATTCAAGCTCATTAAACTACTCAGACCAATTCAAAACAACGCCTCTTCTTTTTACAAGCGACAGTCGGTTTTCCTTTACGTTCCGACGGGTCACGTATTCGACTGTACACTAGACGCCAACCGGCTCCGGGCTCCTCCTGACGCGTGGCTCTCCGCGACAACATATGAGAGACAAGGGACAAGCCACCCCAGGCGGGGCTGGAACCCGCGGCCCTTCGGCCCGGAGCGCAGAGTTAGTACATGCTCTTAGCCACATCGACCATATAGTACGGATTCTCATTAACCCTGTATTACAAAATCCACCTGTACCAAACGTTATTACAAGGCAAAGTCTGACAGACTACTTTGGGGAAAAATAAAGAAAAACTCATTTTTACATTGAAACAGTAAATTTAATGAATTGGACATGTATAATATAAAGTTACAAAATACATTTTAATGGTTTTTATAGATACACCTACATGATTTTACTCTCACAGCAGACTCTTGCTTGGTGTTCTCCACACAAGGCTTCTGAGAAGCTTGGGCAGAATTACCTCGTCATGCAACCTTTGTGGTCGTCCCATTATGATTGTTAAATGTTCTGAACAAAACTTAAATGTTACAGGACAAGGAGCTAGTATTCATTATTCAAAATGTTAGCCAATATATCACCAAAAATATACTACGTTACTACAAAGGCGTAGTCTACTCGACGATGCGTGTGTAAAATGAAGTATTCGGGAAATAGGCATGCGCTCAACGATATGTGTAAGACATTGGCTAGCCACACAATGAAGGTACGTAGAGTTTCAGAAACGGGGAGTGAGGGTAAGAGGGTTGGTCAAGCTTTTGGCACTAATTGCGTCGTCCAACCGACGCCGCCTTTGTAATCTAGTGTTAAATATCACTAAGAAAATTAGTTGCTGGGAGCACGTAGTCCTTTCAAAAATAAGATCTGGGTACTCCAAATTAAGCTATCTTTACCTGTTGAAATAATCATCTACCTTGACATGTGAACTTTGCAACACCAAAATACCACCTTTTATCTTTATCATATCTTTAAAGTTTGTCTCAGATACAGCCATTAGAAGCAGTTATTTGATTCAAACGTGAAGACTTTCTATATTCATTAAAATGTCAAGATAAAATAATCAACGTTTGTTAATCTATCAATATATATTGTTTTATATAAACAATAACGGCTTCACAATATTGTCGTTTGTGAAATCGTTGAAATAAGGAATAGTCCTACCTGAATTGCTACGTATCCTTCACGCATTGTATTAATTCTAAATTTTTGATTTTCATCATAAGATTGGGAAAAGTTATGGTAAGCTATGCAGTTTTATGAAGAATTTTGTGAGAGTTTGTTGAATGTTCATTTTTCAATATAATGAATGTAATTTTCCGTGACTAACAAATTCTCCGAAAAAGTTAATGAAGTGTTAAAATGTAGCCCTAATTTGAAGAGGCGGCGGTTGGGCATAATTCGAACGAGGGAGAGGATAGTAAGGATGCCATATTGGGCGGAATTCCGCCAATTCGGCCAAAAAAATTGTGACTTGTGGGAGGAATATCCGGTGTGTTCCGGCGGAATCCGTGGTTTCCCGGGAGGAGTTTGGCGATACGATTTTTTCGCTTAAATCGTCTATAGTATCCACCGTTTTTTTAAATTGCAAGAGTATTTATGTTTCCTGAAAAAGATGCACCTCGCACAAGAGTTTGTTCTGAGTCTCTTGCAAATGTGCAGTTGTATTTTGAGGTTTCAGAGCCAGCTTTTTAATTTAAAAAAATTAATTAAGCATGCTTGTAATCGTGCCCATACTTTTCTAAAAATGTACAGATATTGATGGTTTGCGATAGTTTTTATGCACAAGGATATTTAGCTTTAAAGATCTACTGAAGGAGTAGCAATTTTGATTTTTTCCATCCCCAATTTCAAAGCTCATTCTTTTAACCGCTCGCCCGTTTTCACCACTCAGTGATTTTTATCCCTCCGTTGGCGACCTTCGAGGACAAGGGGCTGCTCGGTGCCGCGTGGCGCAAGGGGCGGATCCTCGCCTGTCATTGGAGGAATTGATGCAAAACAAGAGCGACACAGTTGCCGCACGATCGATAAGGCGCGTTCGAGACGTTCATGGCCTTGCGTTGCACAACTTCCGGTTCGACATTCCTCTCCGCGGTCCACAGAGCGCGCGTTGAGCGGCCGGTCGGCCGGCCGGCGAGGTCACGTGGTCGGCGTCGGTTAATAATTTAATCGCTTTTAATTGCCGCTGCGAAAGCAGAAGGAGGCTGTTTTAGGACTTCCTTTGGAGACGAATCCCGGAGAAGTGTTTCTTCCCGCATGCGTAATAGTCGGCTTTCTCTCTGCGGATTAAACTTCGTTAAGGTACCGGCAAAATAATAAATGTGGATAGTGAATCATGCGCGTTGTGTAAAGGGAGTTGAAAAGTATTCTTTGAGAAGCGACGGCGTGGAGGGGGAGGGGGGANNNNGGCCGCGCTTTGACCCCTCGCCCTCCCCCTCCCCCCCTCCTCGCGACTTCCGCCTTCGCAACCGCGCGCGCCTGCGCTCCACGGCGCTCCTCTCCGACAGCCCAATCGCTCCGATTTAATTGGAGCTCATTGATTGACGATGCCCGCCACTGTTGCTCTGCACCTTTTGCAATGCACGGAGGAATGGCGAGGCGCGATGCTCCGCGAGCCCCCAAAATGGCTTTTCACCATACTTTGATTTTTCTATAGGTTCCGATGGCATTGTTACGCCTTCTGCCTTATAAAATGAATATTTTTAATTAATCCGCGAACGTGCTTCTCATCTCGGGGCTCGGGGCCTCGGAAATGGGGTTACCACTGTTAAAAAGATTTATTTTATAAGGCAGGAGGTGACACAATGACCTAATGTCATCGGCCACTACAGAAAAATCGAAGTATTTAAGTAACACCGGAATTTAAAGTAAAATATTACAATTTTTTTATAGAACCACTAGTAAATGCGGTTCTTTCAGGGCATGTTTAGCGTGCTAAAAGAACAATTTTTGGCACTAGTGCTAAATGTTGCTAGCGTCGCTAGCCGAATTTGTTTACTACGCCCCGTGAAGTCACGGAGGTTAAGCGAATTCGAGAGTCGTAGGTTCCTGGTTGGGTGACCGTCGAGAAACCCGCGGATCTAATGGCGTCGAGCCCCTAAACGAAGAGATAAAAGGCACTGACCGACTGAGACGTGACGAGGATTCACAAAGAGAGTAATTACTTACTATTAGTAACGGAGATTACTCCAGGAAAAGCGCTCAACGTCCAACAAGGTTTCAAGAGACGCGTTGCTTCAACGACGACGCAACAAATTAAAAAAAAAAGTGAGACGATCCTCAAGTGTTCAGATAAATCTGTGAATTGAACAGAGAAAACAAAATACTGTCGTGTGACCGTATCAGCTAGTACTGTCCTTAAGTATACATAAATATTTGTATACATGAATAAAATTAAAATTACATTCACGAAGGATGTCTAAAAAAGAGTGTATAGCACTCAAGGTAAAAGTGATTTGATTTTGCTCACCGGATTGCACCACTCAGCCTATCGTTCTCGTTTCGAAACATTTCCTTCTCCCAAATAAAATGCCACTTTTATCACTCGTATCAAATATTTTTGTTTGTCTTTCTGTTCATATTCTTTCTGTTTATTGCAGTTCTCAGAATTATGTTCTTGGTGAATAAGGGCAATCCTAACACAATATATACATTTTTTGTTACATATTTTTTGCTTTATTACATATTTTGCATTTTTTTATTATTGTACCAATTTTCTTAAAATTTATTGCGCAAAAAAATTTAATGAATTTTCAGAAATGGTTTTGCTGCAAAATTTGACATTTTTCCTTACACATATTCAAGATTGCTTGCTGTCGACACGAGGTGCCACATATAAAAGGTAGTCAGATGCACACGCTGTGTCTGGACAAATATTCGTATGCACTGCATATTTGTTGCGACAAGAATGCGTGAGTGGTGAGAATATTATCTTTAGGTTGGAAAGTATCAGTGACGTCGTATTTTTGAAAGCAATTTACAAGAGATGTTTGTCGCTGTCGTGAAACACTACGATAACAATGTTACAGCGATTGTTTTCCAGTCACTGCGTTCCTACGTTTTTATACAGAGATTATTTGTATACAGAAAAGTGTAAGAAGAAACAGCTTTTACAGCAACTGTTTAGCTACTGCTGACATAATTGTAGGTTATGCCTATGTGCTCAATTTGTTAATGCGGAAGTATGGAGATGACTCATTTGCAAAAGGGTTCGATACAACTTCTTGCTAAGTCATCAACCTGCACGACTGTTTGTTTTCCGTCCTGTCAAATTGGTCTCTTCTTGAATTAATTTCTTTATACAATGGTTATCATCGCTCTCGAACATAAAAATGAAGTAGTAAAACAATTTAATTCAGTAGAACAAGCAATATTTATTTTTAAAATTGGTTTAATAAATAATTTATCAAGGTAATTCCAAAAAGTGTACATTTATTTTGTTTGTAACTATTCTAAAAACAAGAAATATTTGTATATTGCACATATTATATCCCCTTTTACATCTTTGTTTCATATTCTTATCATTTTTATTATATATTTTTATGTATTTTGTCATTTCATACTATATATTTTTCGGGTCTCTACTAATCTCTACGTTACTTTGGGTATCATGTAGTGTACAAAATTGCAACAGCGGTTATGCGTTGCAATGCAGTTATTTATTTACCCTCTTGCCCTTACAGAATCTCGTAAGGCCGAGGGTCAAATTTGCGCGAAGTGTTCTTGAGAGTTCTAGCTATTCATTTGCCTGCGGGTGCGTCTGTGCTCATTATTATATTGTGCGGACAAAAATCTCTAATGACAACTCCAAGTTAGATCCATACCAAAAAATTACATTAAGTTGTAATTGAGGTGAAGATATAATAAAATTAAATTTGTGAGACAGATGAAACTTTCCAGGCTCATGCATTTAAAAGAATAGCATAGCAGGTCCGAAATGACATGCAAAACATCTAACCCCAATTACAACACGGCCGTCCGTTCATCTCCTTTCGCTTCTTCTGCTTCTCTCGCTCTCTTCGCTTCTTCTGCTGCGCCCCATCGTTGCTCTCCACGCTCCGTCTGTTTCTTCCGCCCCTCCCGGTCCGCGAGTTCACCCCGCTTCGCCAGGTCCAGTCAGCCCCACCTCGCGTCACTCGGCAACGCCCAGCAACAGTGAAGCCCAGATGAATTTGGGATTTAATTGAATATTAAAATACATTTTGAGGCTATTTTTATCTCGCTTATCTCACTATTTGCATTCTGGGCCCTAAAAAGTATTTGTGCTAAATTTGTGAACAATCACTCCAGGGGTTCTAAAGTTTTCGGGGTACATACAAACATATCCACTCACTTTTAACAAGTAGCGTGCTGTTGAGAAATGTGGGAGTGGGAGAGGAGATATCTTGGAAACCGTTGGGGATATTAGCTAAAACAAAAAGTTTAGTTGGTTCTGTGTGTCTTCTGTTTAAGTTTCAGGCTGACATATTAAATAGTTTTTTTAGATAAATGGGTTCGTACAGACAGACAAGTAATTTGACGTAAGATTCCTTTTAGTAATTGAATAACCAAATTAAAAGTATTTAAAAGCCGAAAATCTCAGTCAGACACGTTAGATTTATTTATCTGTATTGATATATAATATAAGATATATAGTGTAAATAAATTGTTTCAAATTTCAAAACAATGAAGCATTCAGAAAAGCCAAATTTCATTCATCTGAGAAAATTAGACATTTTCATTTTTTTTTTCGACCCGCGACGCAGACTCGCAGAGAGGCTCTAGGCTCGCTCGGGTCGCTCTAGCATAAAGGCCGCGCCACAATAGCCCGCGAAAGTCGGAAGAGGGACATCTCAGGCACGTGTTCGCTACATACGATGGCGACGCGAAGCTTCACGGGAACGTGAGCGGAGAGAATGGTCAGCATTTACGAAATCTTGGCCCGGGAACGGGAAACCTCTCGATCAATGAAAGTACAGCAAATGGCGGCGAATTTTTCCTGCTGATCGAGCACGCGACACTGATGTAGAATGGAGTTGAGAGTGGATTCGATATTGAGGTTGGAGCGTGGACTTGCGAAGTTACGGGTTGAGGTGGGTTTCGTTAGTTATTCAGTTGTTTTAGTTCATTTTAGTAATTATAGTTTAATTATTTTTCTATTCATATTAATTCTTAGAATTAAAATCCCTCAAAAATAAGTTTTAAATATATTT